CTGGTAAATTGGAAGTTGTGAATTGAGCTTCAGTACTTACTATTTTATTGTCGTCTGGTAGCTATAAATACTCTATGGTTGTCTAGGTAACGCGTGGAAAAGAAATATTTGCAAAAGCTAGTTTAATTTTGCTTATTTGTTTTTTAGTTTTTTAATTTTAGGAAATTAATTGATTTTTTGCTATAAGTCATGCCTAAACGTGCTAGAAAAGATCTATCAGATGATTTAAAGCAGTCAATAATAAGAAGTGTTGCGAATGGATTGACTTACCGTCAAATATCACACTATTTTGGTGTTTCTGTTGGATCTGTTGCATCTATTGTTAAGGCAAGATTGTCTTCATTTCTAAGTTGTGATAGTGGTTTCATAGAATTGTTTAATTAAATCTTGATATTTACTAGTCATTTTAGTTCATGTATGTATTCTCTTACAGAAACATACTGAAACAGGATCGGTTTCTTCAAGGAGGAAGAATTGTGGTCGAGTTTGTAAAGTTTCACCCCGCATGCTCCGAAGCATTGAGATTGCTGTACGTCGGTCACCGACAAAATCTAGCAAAAAGCTACAACAAGAATTGAGGCACAGTGGTTTAGATGTTGGAACAAGTACCATCAGAAGATATCTAAAAAAGATGGGACTTGTTTCAAGGGTTGCACCACCTAAGCCACTTCTTACACTTCGACATAGGAAACTGCGACTAAGCTTTGCAAGGAAGTACATAAGCAAAGACGAAGAATTTTGGCGAAAAGTCCTCTTTACTGATGAAACTCGCATCTCAATTTGTAATGATGCAAATAAAGTTCGCTTTCGCAGAAAAACTGGAGAGAAACTGAACATATTTACTCCAACTGTGAAGCATCCTGCATCAGTTATGCTGTGGGGAGCATTTGCGGCTTCCGGAGTTGGCCGAATCAGGTTTCTTGAAAAGGGAGAGGTATGCAACAGTGCATGGTATATTAAAGTTTTAAACCAGCAGGTGAAATGGTCTACAAGAACCCTCTTTCCAGGAACAGATTTCTGGCTGCAAGATGATGGTGCTCCTTGCCATAGGTCAAAACTAGTGAGAGACTTTGTCATG